GGGGAAATACCAAAAAAAATTCGCGCACAGAAAATATCCAGGGGAAAAATATCGTGCACAACAAACCTATGGGGAAAAAAAATCGAGCAGTGAGAAAGCAGCAGAGCTAAATTTTAAAACGTAATACTAAGCGGATTTAAAACTTTGAAATGGTCGTTTCAGACAATCTGGAGACTGTAAATATTCTCAACTTGGCAAGAACCATGGTGCTGAAACATGTGAAAAATGGCAGATACAACGAAGATATTTAACGCTACAACTTCCGAAAAATGTAAACAGCCTCCCCCCCGTCGCCAAACTTTCGGGGAAAACTTTTTTAGGTCATACATGAAAAAAATATCTTGCAAAGAAATGTAATAGAAAAAATAATCCTGCCAACTGTTGAGGTATGAAAAAAATCATGCACAAAAAAATTGCCCAAACCTCCCCCCCCCCAAACATTTAATGGTCCGTCCCTAAATTGTGAACGCCACTGGCTAGCAACTGTAGCAAAATTTGTCTATTGAATATTGGAAAATCGAGCAGGACAAAAACTTGGCTCGCATTTGTAGCAAGCCTCAATTTTACCCTTAACTGAACGACTTCGACGGTATGATATAACTGAAACAAACCAGAATTTAATGTAAAATTCAACGTAAAAATTACCATACAGGCGTTTATTACCGTGGTAATCTAAACGATTCTGCTTCGGCAGATAACATTGACATCGGTTTGAATAATTCTGGATATTCTGTTCAAACTCATCCAATAATTGTTAATAATTTGTAGCCTAAATTCAACTATTTTGACAGTATTGCCGAATTTACTTTTAAATATTTGAGAAAATCCAAAAAGAAACAACGAAGGTATAGGATATAAGATTGAGAGCCATCGACTAAACACACACCACCTTACCAGTTTCTAAAGATTTCTTAATTTTTTAGGTGCTAAAAGAATTCTGGAAAAAGGTCCACATTCCCTGAACGGTCATACACTAAAACTAATACGAAGAAAGAAAGTAGAAATCTCTGAAAATAAAGTGTTCGTTGAAGGCATTTCCGCAAGAACGTCGAAAGAATGTCTCATGTTTTACATGGAACGAATAAGCAATTATTCGGTCGTGAAAGATATCAAATATATCATGAAAAGCAGTGAGAGTGTTAATGCAATAGTAAGATTTCATAGCACAATAGGTGAGTTGACAAGTGACTAAATGAAAATAGATAAGGCTGCTGTGGAGTAAGTTAGTTTAGTTTAGCAACGTGTCAAATTGATGTCAGGTATATGAATTTAAAATACTCATTAAAAATTCATAAACTTTGTGGCAAATCATGTCAGCCATAATATGTCACGTGAAGTGACTTTATATTGATAAAACTCATCTTCATTAGTATTGTCTATATAATTGTTCATCCTAATTAGTATGATTATATAATTGTTCATCCTAATTAGTATTCTTTTGTTGTCGTATTTTAAGCTATTCAAAACACTCGAACTCGCATTTTATCATATCTAAAACGCTCGGCTGCGCCTCGCGTTTTAAATATGATAAAACACT